AGGTCTTAGTCATTAGAATGGTGACCACTGATGCAAACTCTATTCACAAATACTAAGCACTCCTTATATTTTTCCCAACTGGTTGCAAAAAAAAAAGATTTATCAGCTAACAAAATTAAAGTAGCAGCATAAGAATTGACTTCACTTACCATTCTCATATTAAATTCATGTGTATATGTTTCACAACACATTAGTGAGCAAGAAGTCTTACTAGAAGAAATGGAAAATCAATAAAATATTATTTTAAAAAATAATCTCACTGTAACCATGTATGCAAGAACTCTTATTTTAGAAGGTTCACTCAAAGTCAGTTTCTACACAAGTACTGTCATTGAAATGTGGAAGTGTGACCTGCCAGACTCTTCTGTGAGTTCTGTTTTCTCAATTTGAAATAATTTGGCCCTCTGGGTGATCACAGAAGCTGACAGAGCCTGCTCAAAATCCGCCTGAGTTGTGGGCAGGAGCAGAATCTCTCACAGTTTAGCTTCTCCAGTTGTCAGCATCCACTCTTGCCATGAAACTCCTCAGCTGCTGGGTTTTCAGTCTAGGTGGGCACTTCCCAAGTCATGAGACAGGGGCAGCAAACCTGCAAAGTGTCTACTCAGCTTCATGTTGGTCCTAAACAAGCATGTAATAATAAAGATGAAAAAAAATCAAATCAGCACAAAATAAACCAGGCCAGCAAAGCCTACCCAGCTTTGACACCACTGACTTTAGGAATCCTAAACTGGAACATGTGGAGGTACTTGATGTGTGAGTGACATTAAACTACTTTTGATTATTTTTCCAAAATACTAAGTCTTCAAAAGCTCAGATAAATGGCTTACACTGTTCATTAAGAAGACTTGACCTGAGTGGAATAGATAGTGCTTACGGTGTGAAGAAAAAAGCTGGCAATATGGAGCAAGGTGAAAGCTGTGAAGCGCACAACCATATTAGCATGCTGAACTTTTCAAACAGTGACAAAATTATTCCTCCAGTGTCTGTTTCTTCACTGCAATAGCAGATAGAATTCCTGCACAGGTGTTAATGAACCATGACCTTAAATCAAGTTGACCTTGTGTGAGGCTAAATCTACTGGGTGTTGTAGTGTAGCTGAATGCAAAATGCATGTTTAAAGAAAGTATTTTATTCAACAATAAAAAAATTATACCCAGCTTTCCACATGTGCAAACTGAATTTTATCTTTTTTAAGTATTGTCTTTAATTTCATCATCATGTATTACTCCTGGGAAATAGCTTTCACTTCTACCTATAATTAATTCAGGTGTCCAAATTTGCAGTATGTTTTTGAAAAATGTCTTTGGGCCTATTCTGCCAATAACAATGACTGGATAATTCATTCAAGCTGTTCCATTAAAAAAGATGTAGAAGACTGAGCAAAGGAATATTTTCTGAAAATAATATCATACAAGTACTGTAATTGTTGTTGACATTCCTTAGTATTTAATGGGGATCTATAGTACTAATGGAAACTGGAAAGGACTGGAAAGGACCCATTTAATTCAAAGCTATCCAGTCCTGTAAATGAACAACTAATTTCTTCCAGAGAATAGCTAAATGTAGTTGTTAGACAGGGTCCTCAATAAATAATTTTCACTGGTCTTGCTTTTCAGAGGTTCTGAGCCATAGACTTCCATTTGAAAGAATTCCTAGCCTTTCTTTTTAACCATTTCCTTTGGTTTTAAGGACCATATAGAGGTCAGGGAAATTTCCAGAGCAAATGGAAGAGACATATTTAACTTCTCTAGGTATTTTACATATAAATACAGTTGTCATCATTCTAAGGGTTGTATTTTGAATGGAGTCCTCTGAAAGCAGAGTGCAATGGAGCATCAGTCCACTTAATTTAGTTCCCTGACTTCTCTCAGTATTGCTGTTTCAGTTGCTAGTACTGAACACCTAGAAATAAGAGCCCTAAAATGTTGAAAGTAGCAGAATTTTAATTAATCAATTGCATTTAAAAACAATAAAACCAATTGTTTATATTAAATGCTTGGTAAAATATAAAGTGTACTTTCAAAAGTTATACATTTTGAGACTTCAGCTAAAGTGCACTTTAAAAAGTTATCCATTTTGAGACTGTTCAGCTATATTAGAAATAAATATATTATTGACTAGTAAGAGTTCTGTTCATACTACATTAACTTTTGTTGGGTATGGTTTTATATTAAATGAAATGGTTCACACAAAGATACATTTATGAGATGAAAAAGGAATCACTTTTTTTATGGCACTGTGAGAATACAAATAAGTGATCTGTGAGAATACAGAAAAGCATCCTTAATCTTTACTTTTTCTTGAATATTCTGTACAGGAGGACTTGATAGAAAACATCAATGGCCAGATTCTTTACATGCTTTGTAATAATAACTGCAAATCAGGCCTAATATTGCACAGGGATTTAAATAGGAACCCATATTTTGCAATAATTTTGACCAAAGTCCAGCACTGCAAAGGCATTGAAACCACTGTTAAATGTGTTACACGTAAATGTTAAAGGCTTTTGTGTGTGTGTGTGTGTTACAAGCCTTAGCCCAATATGCCAATGCCAGGCAATCGGAGTCTTGGGTGGTGCTCACAAGACAGCGCTGGGATTATTGGTTGTGCGGGTGTCTAGCAGAACATGTGCTGAATGCAAAACCCTCAAAATCATATATTACCTTCTTGACCTTTCTGAAAATTTTAAACATGCACATTAGTTTCTTCCTAAGTTTGTGTTCCTAAGCCTGAGGGTAGGTCTTTTCTTCAGAATGAAGAATCATGTGGCTTAGACAGTGTGTATAAAAACACACTAATAAACACACCAAACACACTAAAAACAATAGATGTGAAAAACATCTCTGTGTACGCTGGAATACATTCATGGTTTAAAACTGTACACCAATTGTCTTTTAAATGAGTTCAGACGTGCCCCATTTCCGTCTGTCATAGTGGTCCGTGACAGCCATCACTGTAGTCTGTAATTCTGCCATCACTTTCATCTGCTTTAATCATTCTGCCTGTTTCTCAATTTTTGATCTGCTTTTTGACAATTCTAAGTAATTTTTTTTTTCTCATAGTGCTTTAATTAGCAGTCTTGCTTCCCAGTAAATTAATTGCTGACTGAATCATGCAATCCTTCACTTGACAGAAAGGATGTAAACAAAGAGAATTTTGAGCAACAGTCAAAACAGCAGCATTGGTGCCATAGCATAGAAAATAGCTTCAAAGATGAGATAAAAACCCCCTGTAAAATAGGAGTTTCAGACATCATTAATTCTCTAGTTGGATCCTGTATTAATAAAAGCAATTCTGTCATTCCTGTGGAAAGATGACATTTACCCTTAAATGCTTTTTAAATAGTCTTTTGTAATCCAGGGCTACATACTGTCAGAATTGCTAGATTGCATTGCAGTTTGGGAATGTTGCTGCAGCATTCACGTGACACATTCTCTTAACTTGCAGCACGTTGTTCTGTGATAATGGAGTCACAGAAGGTAAAATGCCCAATTCAGAGTCCAGAATAAAGTCATGTTATTCCCACACCCATTGCATTAGCATTTAGGCTGAATGGCCATACAGTGCAGCACAGCAACAGCTAATAAACAGCTTCAGCTACCACTAATTCTTCACATTACTGTATTTTTGTTATCTTATATGGTGGTAATAATTCAAATACATTTTTAAAAGTGTTTTCAGAGAGCTGAGCATTTTTGGGGTTTGCTCCTCTTTAAACATGTGTAGATATTTGGTTGTTCTCTTCATCTCTGGAATTTAATTTTCTTGAGAGTTTGGTGTGAATTACTTTCAACTTCTGTCTGGAATAAGTAACTTTATCGTCTTGATGATCAAATCTAATTGTGAAATGGCTATTTTAAGGATTGTGCCTGTAGTTTTGGGGGAACGTGTAAGATGTGCAAACTAAAAATTATGGAAGTAAAAGATATATTATGTAAGATTTTACTGATAAAATTCATTAACCACTGAATTCCATAGATTAATTTTATTTAATATAAAGTTTCCAGCAGCTGGAGGAGACTTTAAAAGAAAAAGAGACTTTTAAAAAAAATGTATAGCATGCTTTTTCACTTATAGCTGAGCTCAATCATTATTTTTCTGTGTCAAAAATCACTACATACATTGATACTGGTTAAGTTATTAATTTCTGTTTGAAGTTAAGTTCATATTTGAGTGTCTTGCTGAACCAGAGAAATAAAAAATAGTTTTCCAATAAAACCATTTTTTCAAATTAGAAATTAGAGGGGAGGGGGTTTATTTATTTATTTATTTGCAAATAATGTCTTAGTTCAAAAGGATTAGAAATAACCTCAGTGCAGTATTTGAAAATATCCAGTTGCAGACCCAATGCAAAGATATATGATTACATCAAAGTTCAGAACACCTCTGCTAAGGTATTACATTAAAAAATATATATTCTTTTTAAAAAATTGTTAAAATGCTTTTGGAGTTTGATAATATTTCTTTATGCTTTGTTTAGCACCATCTGGAGAGAGCATGATGAGCATGTTTGTTTTCCAATGACAACAGAGTAATTTTCAATTAAAAGTTGTTGTTTAGAAAATAAATAAATAAATAAATAAATAAGAGAAAAAACCCACATTTTCCTGTACAGTATTCAAGTACAAATATTGAAATAATCCATCCAATAGCTTTATATGTGAGTTTGAAATTAATTGAAAATAATGATGCAATCTGCCAACATATTCTCATTATACAGAGTACAATTAAAAAGCTAAACAAAGACCATATAAGATTTTTAAAAATTAATTTCAGTCATTATAAATTGTGTGAATACAGAAAAGAAAACGTGTTCTGTTTACCTGGCAAGGTCCTTTGAATACCTTTAGTAACAATGAATTAATTTGTTTGCCAGCAATGTGGGATGGCTCCGGTTATGTGTTGTTAGCATTTGCATATTAAACATCTGAGCTCAGTTAATGCATTATAGAGCTCTACCTCTTTGATGCATCATAACCTTGCATTTTCATTCCTTGCAGAAGGGAATCCATATACCTGGTGGGTTGGAAAAGCCAATGAGAAGCACTACTATTGGGGCGGATCAGGACCTGGCATTCAAAAATGTGCCTGTGGCATCGAACGCAACTGTACTGATCCCAAGTACTACTGCAACTGTGATGCTGATTATAAGCAATGGTGAGTGCTTTACAAGAAGGCAGGATGAGAATGACCAAATCTCCCGACTTTTACAACAGTGCCATGACTTTGAATATTTTTTTCTATATTTCCTTTTTTATCAAAGAAAAAAGGCAAAATTATATTTGTGATCCCTCCTGCAAAGTGTCGACCCATGCCTGGATTTCCATTTTATTTATGGTGTCAGTGACTGTTAAATATAAGGACAGTATTTATGATTTCCAGCCCACTGAGCTATAGAAAAGAAAGCTAAAATTGCAAAAGCAAGTCCTAAGAGGAAAGACCAGCATTTTGGTTATCCATGCAACTTTGTAAGATTCAGATATACTGCAATACAGAATTAATTTTATCCCTACAGCAACTTCATGGCTTTTTTCCCAGAATTTCTCCTCTTTAAAATGTTGCTTCTGCAACACTTGAATGTGAGTGATATGTATTGAAATCACTTATCTAGTGCCTCCAACTCTCATTATCTGTCTTTCATGAGGAAAAATATGTTAAGGACTAAATACATATTATGGAATGAGGCTCTGTATTTCAGAGGAAGCTACCAGGCTTTGCATGAGATAATTTAATTAATTAAGGCAGAAAAAAGAAATAAACTTGCATCTCTGATATTCCCTATAAACATGAACAGACTGCATAAAGCTCAGCACCACTTTGATTTTGATGAGACCTCTCTGTGGCTTACAACACTTTGTTTGTGCACCTTAATAATTTCTGTCTTTTTTCTCATGACAGGCAGGATTATATTTTACATGGTATGCAATGTTCAGTGATATATTGAAACCATACTTTTATGAACATTTCTCCCATTAATAGCAACCTGTGGGTAATTGAATCAATACTGGCTCATAAACCATTTGAGGTTAATTGAGAAATTCTACAGCTCTTAATGAATGTAGAGGTACAGAACTGTAGTGGTATGTCAGCAACTAAAAAAAGAAAAAAAAAAAAAGAGTAGGAAGAATCATAGAACCACAGAATCACAGAATAGCAGTGTATGAAAGGAACCTCAGAGTTCCTCTAGTTCAACCCATCTGTTCAAGAGGGGTGCCCTATAAACTGCTGCCCAGTACTTTGTCTGGAGATTTTTTTAATAAATCCAAGGATGGACTCTGCAGTTTCCTTGTGCACATTATCTCAGGACTGGACATCATTGGAAAGAATCTGACTCCATCTACTTTGCACCCTTGTCGGACCCAGGACAACCCTCTGGGTGCCCTGGATGGCTCAAAATCCTGGCAGGGGCTCGGAGACCCTGGCAGGAAGCCAAAGACACTGGGGAATTCGATCTCAATCCATGGAGCAAATTGCAAACTTTATATGAAGAATTACAAGTCACAAAAATTTAAGTAGCATAATAGTAGTTGTCACCAGGTGAAAGATGGAATTTTGAAGAATATTACTATAGGGGTCTAGGGGACAAGATGGAGGAATTTGGGCGTTGTCCTGTTCTTCTTCCTTCTTCTTCCTAGCCTCCATCTTCTTGGTGATGGTGGCACTTTAGGATTGGTGTAAACTAGAAAGTCACTGTCTAACACAGGTGATAGGTATTGGATCATAACTGTAAATATCGAATACGTAGTTTATAGTATAAAAGACAATGCCGGCCCCGTGGAAGGACAGTGTGCCTCAGACTGACCTGCTGAACAGACCTTGGCAGGCCAGACAGAAAATGTTTTAGCTAAGAAATAATAAACAACCTTGAGAACTACAGCCAAAGACTTCTGACTCCTTCTTTGACAGCTGGGTTGGGGAAAAGAGACTTTTAATACATCTTGGGGTCATCTTGACCAGAGGAGATCCCGAGACACCCTGTTAGGTATTTATGGACATTGATGACATCCCTCTCAACCTTCACTTCTCCAGCCTGAGCAGCCCCAGCTGCCTTTGCTTCTTTTCATAGGAGAGATGCCCCAGTCCTTCTGTCATCTTAGTGGCCCTTCGTTGGACTCCATCCAGCAATTCCATCTCTCTCTTGTGCTGGGGACCACAGAAATGGACCCAACACTCCAAATGTGGCCTCACTAGTGCTGAGCAGGGGAGAAGGATGGCCTCCCTTGACCTGCTGTCGGAACTTTGCCTAATGCACCCCAGGACACCATTGGCCTGCTTGGACTCAAATGCACATTGCTGGCTCATGTTCACCTTGGTGTCCACCAGAATCCTTAGAGAGATTTCTATCCAGTTACTTCCCAGCTGGATGGTTCCCAGCATATACTGGTGCATGGGGTTGTTTCCCTCAGGTGCAAGGCTTTACACTCTTCACTGTTGAACTTCATATTTCTGTGAGCCCTCTTCTCCAGCTTATGAAGATCCCTCCAGATAGCAGCAGGACCCTGTTTGATGTGATCTGCAAGAATGAAGTATGAAAAACACAAAAACAGAGTAATAAAGGAAACCTTCCAGGCCCTGCAAAAATTGTAGATTAGGATGTGGAAAATCAAATATTGCCACAGACATGGCCACCCTAAGCTTTGACATAGTTAGGATAGTAAGTTGTTAGCTATGATATGGGGTGAACTACAGAACACTGCAGATATAGAGGAGTCTGTTTTAGAGACAGGGTGATCACACATGTTGACAACCTTCAGAAATATAATTATATAGAGAGAATGAAGAATATAAAGTCAGATGACTCAAACTCAATCATAAGCACTAGAGCAGTGTGGCAGGAGGGATGTAGGTTTGGTTCTGTCAAAATGGTAAAAATAAAAGGAAGATATTGTGATAATAATTACAATAATGGTAGAATTAGGAGCACTTACTGTTTTCATTGCCTGAGGCACTGGATGCATATCCATGAATAATAGGGCTCTGTACCATATGTTGACTGTTTTTCTTTACACCAAGGAAAATGTATTTGGAAAATGGCACTGGATTTTTGATCTCTTCTTGAAGATTCCCCAAGAGTCACAGATGATAATTTAAAAAGCAGCACTCACTCAATAATCTTACTGTAACCTCTGCACCCCCTATATACACTGAAATTATGTGGATTCTACTAATAAACAGATTCATATGGTTATTAGATGTAGATCTAAAATAGGCTTATAATTATAAAATATCTACAACTGGACTCAGAACTTCATACAAGAATACATTATTACATATAATATTTCTTTAGATAAGTATCAGAATTTTTTCAGGACAACTACTATTCATTGCAGGACATTTTATGAAAAGCAATTATACTACTGGATATTATATTTTTATCTGTGGTGTGTGTAAATCACAGGAAGAAATGAAAGCTATATTATAGACTTTGAAGACATTTTGTTCAAGATTCATTTTTTCAGTTTGGTTTTGGCAGAATCTAGTCTTTTCCATAGTCATATCTTTTGGGTTTTGGAGTTATTTTGAGGAGTCCTAGTTAGGAATTTTATCTTGCCATGTTCATCAATACCTAAAAAGCAAGTGAGTTCCACAGGAAAGGGGACCTTGATGACTTCAATCATCGGGGCAGAATTCAACCAGGGCATCCAACACACCTGTGCCCAGTTCTGGTGACAGCAAAACAGCTGCTGGTTTGGACAACAGAATATGCAAGAGCTTAGGGTGGGCAGACAAGTCTCAGTTCATATATTAACAAAGCAGCTTGCCGCAGCTTGCCACTATAGCTCACCAGCACAACTTATTTTAGAAGGATTTACAATCCCCTACAAGGGAAGGGCTGAGTAAACACCAAACTGTGGCTGAGAGTTCAGGTGGGACTTCTGCAATAATTGCATACCTTGTCCACAGCTGAGACCACTGCATTTGCTTGTGGTATGCCCACAGTTATGTACTGCACCTGCCCAGGCAGTGCTGGAAAAATTGTTTTGGTGTTTTTTGGGTGGTTGCAGGGTAATATACAGAGGGGAGAAGGCAGTAGCCAGAGCAATAACTATATTAGAAAAGGTAAGGAAGTAAAATAGGAGAAGAAGGCTCTGTAGAAATTGTGAGAATGAAAGGTGAAGAAAAAAAGCAAGATTTAGAAGAGAGATTTTACAAGGAAATTGGGGAGCTGCTGAAGAATCAGTCAGGCTAAATCAGAATGATGTAGGGTAAGTAGAATATTGTCCACTTGCTTTTACTGTAGAAGTTAGAAATTGTGTTAGGAATGAAGAAAGGAATTACAGCCTGATGAATGGTTTCATAGCAAAGGCAGGAGAATGTTTCCCTGGAGATCTGGATTCTAACCCTGCCTCTGGAACCACATTCCTGCATGATGCTTCCTCAGTTTCATAAACCATTTCTTCACAGAACAGTCTGATCCTAATTTTCTGGAAACCCAGTGAGGAAACCCAGAAGTCCACTTTGTGAAAATACCAAACACCAAACATTCACAGCTGCAACCAGAATAAGGAATCACTCTCTGAATGCAGTCATTCAAAGCAAAGCAAAAAAAAAAAAAAAAAACACAAACCATGTAGGCACCTCAGATGGAGCACTAAGTATGAGTGTTTTCAATATTAACATCTTTCAGCCTCAACATCCAATCTGTAGAATGCAAATTATGCCAGCTACTCCCTCATGGTGGTACTGCAAAGATAGGTCGATTTATGAAGCAATCATCTGCCATTCTAATGAGCACTATAAAAAATCCAATGAGAAAACGTGGTCTTTATAGAAAGATTTGAAATAACACATTAGGTATAAAATGGTATCCACATATTGAAGCATAAGAGTAAATTTGGGGAGTAGGCAATGCTAGACTAAATTAGTATTGTCTGCATCCTATACTGAATAATGCTGAAGCCCTCCAGAATAAATAAAAATCGGGGACCAGTCAAGGATTGCGTCATGATGGTAGGAACAGGGGACTAATTAAAGCTCTTTAAGCAGCCTGAAATGCTTTTTGTCAGAAATTTTTTTGGTTTTTCGCTTTTTTAGGTTTTGGGTTTTTTTAACCAAGTATGTAGTAATTCTATGTAAGTACAGAACCATCTGTGTTAATTATGGACTCACTTAGAATGTAACTTTTCCCAGGAATTAGTGTATACCATAGGCTTGGT